CTATGCCCTTCTGTCTTCTACCATATGATGGTGCAGCAAGGCCTTCATCAGATGCTGACCTTTGACTGTCCAGATTTCTGCATCAGCAAGGTACTGTTCTTTACCATTACACCTTCTCAGGTATTTTGCTATGGCAGCACAAAACAGACTAAGACTTCTCCCCTCCACAAACTCTCCACTCCCCACCATGCTTAAGCAGATGCTCACAGCCGTTCATTCCCTTCTGCAGGGAGAGGCAGGGAGATTTAACCTTACCCTTAATCATGTTTTCACTTAAAGCAGTTGGGTTGAGGATAGAAAAGGGTCTATCAAGGGCGCAGAGGGAGAAAGTGGCTCCAAAGCACTAAACAAAGAGCATTGACTTTTAACTTTAGGGCACAGGAAGCAGCTTATGCTCCGACATATGAACTTCCCATGTTTCCACCTGCCCCAGGTTGAACTGCAAGATCCCCATTAGCAGCAGCATCTATTTCAGCTTTGGGGCTTCATTGATTGAGCAGTCACAGCTTCCTGTAATCTAACTAGGGGAGTGGCTTTGCACCTGTCAGTGGTATGGGATGGACTTGCACAGTGCCCAGGTTTTTAAAAGGAGTCCACTTCAATCTCGGATGCTTGCTACCCTGTTATATAAAAAATGTGCACGTTCTTGTCCAATTTACTTTCAAGGGATAGAGGAATCTTCCAAGTCTCCCCTCAGATTCCAGACTCAATAATTTATCTACCATGCCAATCTGCCATTCCGTAATGAGTCATTTTCATCAATAATGTAAACTCAATTCAGGACATCAAAGGCTCAGAACTTAGCCGGTGCCTATATTCATTTGCTAAGGCTGTCATGAGAAAAGGCCCTAAACTGGGCGGTATAAGCAACACATTTTTTTCCTCCCATTTCTGGAGGCTAGAAGTCCAAGCTCATGGTGTCAGAAAGCTGGAATTCTTCTGGGGGCTCTGGGAGCCTGTTCTACACCTGTCACCTAGCTTCTGGTGGTTTTCCAGCAGTCCTTGGCATGCATGAAACATCAGCCCTATCTCTGCCATATGTTCGCTTGGTGTTCTCCATGCATCTCTGTGTCAAACTTCTTATAAGGACACTAGGCATAAAGGAATAGGGGTCCACCCTCCCCAATATGACCTCATCTGAACTAATTACATTTGCAATGACTCTATTCACACAAAGGTCATGTTCTCAGGTCCTGAGGGCCAGAACTTCAACATACAGGTCTTGAAGGGACACACTAACAACACTCCTTTAGGGTTTCCCATCAGAGTTTGTCTCAGGGAAACCTCCTCCAAAGGGCTGAGCCCTTTAACTGGAGCCAGGACCTATTGAAAAAAAAAAAAAGAAACAAACAAAATAACGGAGACTTTTCCCTATAAAATAGGGAAAAATACGTTAGCATCCCATCCTCATTACCAAAATTATCAATAACTGTGAAAGGTCTGAGCTTTAATTTATCTGCACATTGGCAATTTAGCCTGCCACAGGTTCATGGATGCTGGTAGAAGACAGGACCCTTGGGTCAGTGATGCATAGCACCAAGCAGAGGAGATCACTATTACCTTGCAGTGAGTTCATACACTTCACATTCCCTAGAACAGTGTGAACCCATAGGGGTGCTATTACTGGACAGAGGCCCTTGGTTTTGTAACACTAATCCTCCGTAATGGACAGTGCTCTGGAGGGAGACATTGCCACTATCTCCCAATGCTACGTGCTACACAAACATCTTTGAAAAGATAATGTAGATCAAAGACACGCAGTACCTCTTTATTCTCTACCAAGTGTGAGGGAAGGATGGAAAACCAACTCCCAGTGGAATGCAACAGAGACCAAAAAACTTGCAACCTGTGCGACTAACCATAGCAACTGGAGAAACCCAGTGTAATTCTATGCTGAAGTTTAGACGATTTTGATTTTATGTGTGTTTTGGAAAACTTTATGAATTTTGTAGAAAATATGAGCTTTAGATACCTTTTAAAGACATGTGCTTTGATTATATTAATGCTTTATTTGAAGAGGGATTTTGGATACACTGACCTGTATCTAGCAATAGCCTGACCTAATAGTTGTTAATCCTGTTTTTCCACATTGTTGTGTTGGAAGTTGCCTCTCTCTGTAGCAGCAAGATCTACATCAGAACAAATGTATTTGTGTAACTTGGAACAATATTGTTTTTACTTGAGTCAATGGTTCAGTTTTCTTTTTTAAACAGAACTCATTTTAAATTTTAAGAGGATTTTTATTTAAGCACTTTTATTACAATATTTATGTGGCAGCAATATCTAACAAACTTTGGAGACACTGGGTAACGTTTTGATAGATTTTGTAACTCTGCCAGATGCAGAACTCAAAATAAATGCTATTTAAAGCAACAGCCAAAGTAATAATAAAAGAAGAGTCCTTAGTAGCAAGATGGTTTTCAACGCATGATCCAATAGCTATTGTCCTTTACACAGAGGAAAAATTCTAAGAATTTATTATTATAAAACAAGGGGATACCTACAGCAATGCACTAGAAAAAAATGAGATGTTTCTTCAATATTTGCTAAAAAGGAAACTAGGTGTCATTCCAAACAGTAAGACCAAGAAAATCAATTTCCTTGATTCCTCAGAAATCAAGTGGTCTTATCTAAACCAAAAGTCAGACTTCTGCCAATTTTTCATTCCCATCATTTCAAACATTAGCTACTTTTGTCCTTAGAACAGTAAGTTCTCAACTCTCCCCAGACAATAAATTCTTTTTTTATTTTTTTGACAGGCAGAGTGGACAGTAAGAGAGAGAGACAGAGAGAAAGATCTTCCTTTTGCTGTTGGTTCACCCTCCAATGGCTGCCACTGCTGGCACACTGCGGCCAGCGCACCGCGCTGATCCAAAGGCAGGAGCCAGGTGCTTCTCCTGGTCTCCCATCGGGTGCAGGGCCCAAGCACTTGGGCCATCCTCCACTGCATTCCCTGGCCACAGCAGAGAGCTGGCCTGGAAGAGGGGCAACCAGGATGGAATCTGGCGCCCCGACCGGGACTAGAACCCGGTGTGCCGGTGCCGCAAGGTGGAGGATTAGCCTATTGAGCCGCGGCGCCGGCCAGACAATAAGTTCTTACCCAACATTTTCTGTTGTGCCCCCTGTAGACCATAAAGTCTACAGTGCCTCTTTGCACTAGATGCTCTGGTCTAAAAGTAGATTCCAGAGTTCTGTCCTTCTGGACGTCTGTATGCTTGTGGGTGTAAGAGAACATGCACACATCTGGAGGGTGACGATTTACACCTTTCATCTTTCATCCACTTCTCAAAGTGATATGTGACTCGGTAAAAGTAAAGACTTCCTGACCAATTGTTAACAGGTTCCAAAGTAAAATATAAAGATGATTCATTGAAGTAGGTGAATACAATACTGGAATTTGTTTATATGTGTGCTTATTAAGAAAAAGAAATAAGCTGTACTACTATGTAGGATATAGATTGAGAGCAGCATATAAACATATACATATATAAATAGACATACACCTTATACTCATATATTTGAGTGCTAAAATATTTTACTAAGAGTGTGCAAAAATTCAAAAGGTTGGAGGTGAGAGGACAGAGTTCTGGATCTGTATCAAGTTCTAAGCTGTATAGGGCATTTTAAATTTCTACATTGGAGGAGGGGAAGAAACAGTAAATTCTCAAATAACAACTATATTTTTATCCACTTCAACTTTACCAGATGCAATTTATTGAGGGAACAGTGCAGCTCCTTGTGATTAAACAGTGCCTGGATGCCACAGGTCCCTGCGTCACTGGCAGTAGCTACCGTATTTCTAAAGGCACAGAACCCCATGATCACTGTCACCGTAACTTTCCACAGGGCTTCACTTATGCTGATGTTATTCCAGGCAAACCATACATAACACATCTGACTGGCCGACTTCTATAATCGCTGTTTTCTTTTGCTTTGTCTTGGTTTTCTCTGAAACGACCTCAGTTATTTTCTCAATATAAATGGGTCTGGCAGCACTTCAGGCTAAAACATCTCAGCAAATACTTGAGTATTTGAGTGTTATGCAAATTAATTTTCTGCCAAGCAATTTTCTTCACAGGCTGGAAGGTTTATCTGCAATTCCATTTCCTGATATGACACACTTTGAAAAACTGAATGGCCTGAAAATCAGTCACAAACTTACATAAATCTTACCTTAATATCTGAGATTAGATCCTGAATAGGTCATTTAAATTTTGTCTTTTTACCCCAATGTTTAAACCTAACAGACTGAAATGTTCATGATACTAAATTTATTGTGATGGAAATGAACCTGCATAATTAAAACAGAAGGGTAGCTTTTAGTCACTTTCATTTAGTTTTTAAAAATTGAAATTTATGCATTTATGAAGACCTTGCTAATTTTTGAAGGCAACTAACATGGAGAAATTGGGCATAATCTAAAAAGGAGTAGTTTTGAACAAAAAAGAAAACACATGACTTCTGTGGTCTAGTCAAAATAGATGCATGGGTGGTTCTGGGCAAAGCTGCCCCATGGGAAGTATAAAGGACAACAAAATGCACAACATTTGAAGTGCCTTAAAATATGCCTATCAAGTGAGTACACGTGATCAATAAAACAAAAGAAGCATTTATAAAGGAGCAATATTTCACCAAATCCAGATTTGATGAACAGAAGGAAACTGAGCCTCACAAAGCACTAAACCCTTCTCTTACTGTAAGCTCTTGGCTTTCATAGCTGGTATGTTCCTTCTGCTTCACACGGAAGAACACACGGATTCCCAAGGATGTGCGAAGTATCACAGCAAATCCCTCCTAACACTAAACTTGGTTTGCAAATGAGATGCAGATATTCTCCTCATCATAAGATGAGACGCCCTTGTGCTTAGCCAGAGTGTAGACAAGACGGAAGAGTTGAGATTGTTTTGGAGGTGCTAATAAGTCTCTTTATAGGAATTCTAAGGTCTGAGGTTAAGTCTCTTCTAAAGAAAGCCTGCCTGCTTCACAGGGGTCATGTCGCCCTCCTTGTAAGCTGTACATCTACCTCTACGTAACTGCCCAAGAACCACTAGCTATAGAGTGAAAAGGCACCAGAGTGCACAGTTGGTTGAAGTTAATTCGATTGTCCTATGCTAGGAGGATGGTGATCTATCAAACCATCCCCAGAAAGTCTGTGTCAAAGACATTCCTGTTTATCAGTAGCAAGTTTTGCAGATTAAACAAATGCACTTAAAACTACAGCAGTGATGCTCCGTGGCACTTCAGCAGTTGCTTCAACAGGGACTTGAAGGTAACTGTCAATTAAAAGCAGAATAAAACTTTAAAAAGCATTGTGTAGCTCTGGGCTTTGTCAGGGCTTTGCAGGTGAAGCTCCATTTGGACAGTTTCCTGGCTGGTACTTGTCAGGGGCACTTGTGTCCATTCACATCTTTCATTGCCAAGCCAACTGCAGAATACCATATTCCATTATCCTCTGCCTCCTCCTAATGTAAACAAGGGGAGGCCAAGGCAGATCTGCTGTGCTGTGCACGGAAACATCAAGGAGAAGCCATTTGGCAACAACTCTTCTTTTTTCTCTACCCAAGGATCTGAAGGACTAGTGGTCTTGAACATCATACGAAATTCCAGTGTCAGACACCCAGCTTTTAGGTTCCCCCAGCACACAGCATGAATCATTTTCCTTTGGGTTTGAGACAGATGTTCTTAAAGTCACTGCAGATAAACGTCCAACCTGATCCATACTGCTGCTGACATTACCTTTCCACCCTGTGTACCTGATCTGCCCTCTTCTTCCTTTAAGATTTACCATCTCTCTTGTCCCAACAATTGTTGGGAAAACAGGCAGAAGGCAATGAGTCTGCTCTTCTTCTTTTTTGCTGCTTCTTTTTCCATAATTAATGGATCTTTGTTCTCTGGTCTGGGGAAGCTATCCTAGATGACTTAATCTCTCTGGAAAATATTTTTTAGATAATTTTTATTTAGATAAAGTTTCAGATCTATAGAAATGTTGCAGCAATAGTACCAGGAAAAACACCCATGCAGGTTGTACCCAGATTATGTACATGCCCTCTTTTGCTCTGTGTGTGTTTTTATGTATGTCACAGGCGTGTGGAAGGTACATCTGAATTCTGATTGATTTACAGAGAATAAAATATCACCAAACATTTGATGAAGATGACATCATATTTTATGCTTTTTAATTTTCTTGAATCTCTGTTATTTCCCTATAATAAAGGTTAAGTTTTTGAAAGAAAAATGCATTTATACCTTAAATTTCCTTGCAAATACTAATTTAACTTCATATAATTGGGAAACTATAGACATATTTTCTCAAAGCATGTGGTATTCTCTCACAACAGTGTGGGTATTCAGTAAGAAATATTCAGTCTTTTAAGATAATGAAGTACATCCTGGTAAAAGAAATCACTATAATACCTATCATAGTTCCTTTGGGATACTAGAAGCCAGTCAGTAATGGGCTTTTATTCTTGATATCACTAAGGGCCAGGCTGGGATGGAAAAAGAAGTTGTAAACTAAGTTATTTCTCAGAACCCCAAGTATGCCTTCAGTGTATTTGTGATTCTGTCAATACTGATTTTAAAACCATGATGTTCATCTTGCTTTTGCTTTGAAGGTAAGGTCTTTTTAAAAGGATATCCTCTTCCCAAATCAAACTCTGTAGTTTTTTGTTGTTGTTGTTGTTGTTATTTTTGAGTTCACTAGAGAACTGAAGCCGACATCTGTCAAAAGTTCAAGTTCTAGAAAAATGTTTATAAAATTCCATAATAAATCACTGCATCATTTTCTGCAACACTACTCATGGTCTTTTAATAAATATCACCAAGATACTTTAACTAGAATAAAAAAATCACATCACAGATACATACTTATTGAGACTAAATTGGTCCTTCTTACATATACACACACTAAAAATACTCAGCATGAATACTTCAGAAAAATTGTCTAGCAACAAAAGGAAGGAAAGAAAGGGGGGAGAGGAGAGAAAGGAAATGAGGGAGGGAGGGAAACAAGGAGGAAGAAAACAGTCTTATTTTCCACTCTAAACTTGGCATTTTCTGTGGCTCAGCATGGCAGTGGAAGATGTATACTAAAGTAGGCCCCAATTATTCCAAGTGTGTGTGCACATGTTTGTGCACAAATATTTGACGACTGTAGACTCCCTGGATGCATACTGTACCCTCATGCTGTCTCTTACTAAGGTAAATTAGAATGATATTATTGCATTTTATTATAGGTTATATGTCTTTTTTATCCTGAATATTTTGCTATTATGATAATTGAATTAGTTGGAACTACATTAATAATATGAAATAAAATAACCTTTACCATGTATGTATAGGATAAAAAATAATATATGTCAAACAAAAGGTCAATTTATTATATGACAAATTGTGTTATGCAGAATATTTTTAACTTTAAGAGTTAAATATAAAATTTTATACATTTACAGAATTATTTTATATTTATATTGTGTCTAACCCCTAACTGCTTATTTCCTTAAAAAAAAGTGCAAAAGAGAAAAAGTAAGTCAGTCTATTTTGTTATATATGTTAACAGTTAAATGAGAAAATGTAATAAAATGCAAAATTGAAAAGTTGAAAGAACCTATGGTATCAATGACTAATTTCTATTGAAAAAGCTTTTTTAAGCAACACTATCACAAATACACTGTAATAGCCATGGCAATCCACCAGGACACAAGACTGCGGGTGACTTCATCACTTTGTGTACAGTCAACTACAATTATCTGGTCTATGTACAATGTGCTGATTTCTGAGTACAGGTAGTGAATGCTATAAAACCAAAAGATTCCTCCAAAAGTCAATTTTTGAGGTTTCTTTAAAAAGAAATAAACAGAAGAGTTGAAGGACGGAAGTTATGCTTTTCATCAAGTTAAACTGTAGAAAGATCAGATTGTGACTTAGCTCCTGGAATTCTAATACTGCTTTTTAGCCTCCTGTAATCCTAAAGTGCATTCCAAGGTGCTACACATCCTTCACGGAATCACACCTCAAAGACAAATACACAAGAGTACAGTGCACTAATCTATGCCTGATGCTTTGCCTAAGAAGTTGGCATTGCCATCCTCAATATCTTTCTTTTGGAAACAGAGTTGTGAATTTGATCCTTGCTGATAGGCATCCAGAAAATGACAGATTCCAGGAATGTCACTGGGGAAGTTGGGTGGAAGCTCCTCTCTTGATCGAGGAGTAAACACAAAGCCAGGGCAGTCTTTGAGCAATCTGCAAAGATTAAAATAAAGATATTAAAATTTCATGCCGACATCAATGCTTGCATAACTCAGTCAATATTACTGAGAATATTCATAAATCAGCTGATTAAGGTATGATTATCAGAGATTCTGATGACATCAACAAACACCTGCACAGAAGAACAATGATGAATTACTTCAAAATAATTGGAAAATCTGGGGCTATAGCGCGTTAAGCCACCACCTACAATGCCCTCATTCCATATGAGCATCGATTCAAATCCTGGCTGCTCCAGCTCCCTACTAACACACCAAGCAGAAGATGGTCCAAGTGCTTGGGCCCCCGCCATCCACATCACATAGTCAGATGGAGTTCCAGGCTCTTGGATTCAGCCTGGCCAAGACCCGGCCATTGAAGCCATTTGGGGAGTGAACCAGTGGCTGGAGGATCTCTCTTTCTTTCTCTCTTTCTCCCTCGCTCCCTCCCTGTAACTCTTTCAAATAAATAAATAAATCTTTTAAAAAATAACAGGAAAAGTGCACCCATTAAAGTACTTAACCTATATTGACAAAATAAATAATTATGAAACATTTTTGTAAAGATATATAATAGTATAATTCAAAATAATGCAAAAATTCATAACAAGTTTAATATGAAAAATACATAATTATGTTATTAAATAAAGCTTCTAGGTCAAAAAAGGTAAAAAACTACTTATTCATTACTTTTCTAAATAATAACTAGAAAGTAATCACAAACAAGAAGTTGTTAAAGAAAAAAAATGGTGAAAATTATGCAGGCAGGCATAGCACAGGGAGTTAAGCTGCCATTTGTGACTCCCACATCCCATACTGGAGTGCTGCTTGGATCATAAACTAAACCTCTTTTTTTTTTTTTTTTTTTGACAGGCAGAGTGGACAGTGAGAAAGAGAGACAGAGAGAAAGGTCTTCCTTTGCCGTTGGTTCACCCTCCAATGGCCGCCGGTGCATCACGCTGATCCGATGGCAGGAGTCAGGTACTTATCCTGGTCTCCCATGGGGTGCAGGGCCCAAGGACTTGGGCCATCCTCCACTGCACTCCTGGGCCACAGCAGAGAGCTGGCCTGAAAGAGGGGCAACCAGGACAGAATCCGGCGCCCCGACCGGGACTAGAACCCGGTGTGCCAGCGCCGCAAGGTGGAGGATTAGCCTAGTGAGCCGCGGCGCCAGCCTAAACCTCTTTCAATCCAGGTTCCTGATAATGCATCCTGGGAGGCAGCAGACAGATGTTGGCTCAAGTACTTGGGCCTGTGCTGCCCATGAGGAAGACCTGGATGGAAATCCCGACTCAGAGCTTTGGCTTGGTCCAGCCCTCTGTATTGCAGGCATTTGGAGACTGAATCAGAAGATGGAAGGTTCTCTCTCTCTCTCTCTCTGTACATGTGTGTGTGTGTCTCACCTTCTGTTGCTCTGCCTTGCAAGTAAATATATAAAGAAACAGATCCTTGTTAAAAGGAAAATAATATCATCTGAATTTGTTGAGTGCCTTGTTATCACACATCAGGCAAACACTGTTTGGGACTCTAAGGTATGTCTTCTGACTACAAATCCTATGCTTTTATTTTATTTTATCCATTTGAAAGGTAGGAAGGGGAGAGAGAGAAAGAGAGAGAGAGACAGAGAGAGAGATCATCCATCTTGCCCCAACACTGGAGCTGGACGAGGCTGAAGCTAGGAACCTAGAACTCAGTCTGGGTTTCCCACATAAGTGGCAGGGCCCCAAGAACTTGAGCCATCACTTGCTGCCTCCCAGGGCATGCACTGGCAGGAAACTGGAATTGGAAGTGGAGCCAAGACTTGAACCAGGCACTGAGACACAGGATGCAGGCATCCACAAGCTCTGTTCTTAACCACTGCCACAAATGCCCACCCCTCAATCCTACACTTTTTACAGGGTATCATGGAGCTGGAAGTGTCTACTAAATCATCTTTCTTTAAAATCAGAATTTATAAGAAAAGCAGCATGGAGGCATAAAAGTATGTGTGCAGATGAAAACTGGATGACAGTGACACAGTCAGATGTCCCCACTTAGCAGCTGCTTCTCTGCTTCCTCCTGACTAGCAACTGTTTCTTCGAGATTATCACATCACACTCTTATTCTTTTTATATCTCGTAAGTCCCATTATTCACTTTGTTTTTGCCCCTGCAAAAGACCCAGAGTCTCGAGTCTATTTACCCACCCACACTGGGCCTCATCCAGTTACACCTGCACTTTTAGCCTTAGTGAGCCCTGGTTGCCATCTAAGCCTCTATTCATAAACCACTGACCCGACACTTCAGAAAGATCTAGTGCAGTCGCTGTAAGCTGTCCTGACTTCAACAGGAGCAAAGAGAAATGCAGAATATGCCACCTAAAATAAAAGCAACACTCTAAATGATGTTTAAAAGGGATGTATAATCCTCATAACAGTGCTACACTGTGAATCACTGATTAGAATTGGAAGTGGAAGTTTGAAGATGAGGATTTTTTTGTTATGTATTCGATGCTCTAAATTTACATGTATTTCAAGTATATCAAGGAAACTATATTTGATATTTAACAGATTATTTTATTATCTGGAATATGTCATTCCAGAATTCATTGTATTAACAGCAATTCTCTCCACAGAAATAATCACCTTTTATATATTATACTTTCTAGTAATGTCCACTACTTGTCCTGAACTTTGAAAAAAATTAAAATTACATACTTATTATTAATTAAATTTCACAAAGAATGAATGTTTGAATGAAATTTTAATTATCTATTCCCTTTAAATTTTCATATCACATGAAAAAGATGAAGCACCTCTGTAAGAAAGGATTTTCAATTGCTGTAAAAGTTATTTCACATTAAGTATTTATATATTGCCAAAAAAAGCATGTAAACCATTGCTTGCCTTTAAATATGGCATAAATGTTTCCAACTGAGAATAAATGAAAATCATCACTCAAAACAATAAAAACTGGGAAACGGCACATTTGTCTATAAAATGTAAATGGGAAGAGCAGTAAGGATGTTACTGGTTAGGCTACTGGTTGTTGTTGGGAGAGATAATGGTGACTTGCCGGGGCTGTAGCACTGTGGGAGCTAAGAAAGCTGTGATCCTTGTGATTTGTGGAAGTACGTGATGGGCCGAGGGGAGAAGAGAATGCTTAGTGTATGGCTACGGTCCCAATAACCAGGTAGATGGTGGTGCCCCTTTAAGCAGAGTAAGTATAAAGCTCAGATACGTGGGAAGTATGTGGGTAATCAGCTTAATCTGATCAAATTAATTTTAATATGTTGAACAGCCATTCAAAAGGAAAAATGGAGCAGATGTCTATAGCTCCATGGAGATTTATGAAATGGGCTGGAGATGTAAAAAAAATGAGTCATTAAAATTTAGATGCAGAATAGTGATGGGGATTCTACAATATTGCAAAGTGTGGTAGGAAGGACTGAGCAGGTGTAGCCAATGGATGATGAGCAAACAGGGGAGCATGGGCTCCCAAAAATAAAGAAGAAAAATGTTGATGGAGGGATTACTCGGCCTGTTTGATTGCAACAGAGACGCTGAGGGAGACAAGGAGAGAGAACTGACCATGATGGTAACCAGGTACATCAATGACCCTGAAAGGGACCGCTGCAGCACAGGGGACAACCACTGACTTGAGTGAGTTGAAGAGTCAGTAAGGGGTAAAGAGAAACAGAAATGATAAAGATGGACAACTTCGAATGTCCAGTGAGATGCACTTAGAACCAAAGACTTACAATTTTTTTTTTCCAAGGGAGACATAGTGGTAGGATATGTTTGTATTCTGTTGGGAATAATCATTTCATCAAAGGGAAACTGATCATAAAATGAAAGCAGTTATTTTCAGCATAAATGTTCTTGAGAAAGTCTCAGGAAATGGCATGTGGAACAAAACTGTTTAGATGGAGCAGGCAGCTGGTTCTGTGTAACAGAAAGGCTGAAGACACAGACTGGGTAGATGTGCCAGTGGAATCCACAGCATGAAGATGGAGTGGGTCTCATCTGACTGCCCTATTCTTGCTGTAAATTATGAGGCAAAGTTATCAACTAAGAGCCTGGGCTGGAATGTGAAGGTTATTAGAGCTTTAAAGAGAGTTACCTGGGAGTGTAAGGCTTGTTCGGTCAAGCAGGGGTGGGGAACATTTTCCTTGCCAAGAGCCATGTGATATTTATAACATCATTCATGGGCTACCCACAATCATCAGCTTAAAAATAGGCTGCTATAGATTCATCGGAGTTTGAGTCCCACCTGCGGTTACCTTGGCAGGACCATACTAAATGACTTCATGAGACTTATATGATCTACAGGCTGGAGGTTCCCCACCCTTCAGAGGTTAAGATGCCAGTTCCACATTGGCCCCTGACTCCAGTTTCCTGCGAAGGCAGACTCTGGGATGCAGCAGGTGACAGCACAAGCGACTGGGTCGCTGTCACCCACATGGAAGACATGGATTGACTTGGAAGGCTCCTGCCTTCTGGTCTGGTTCAACCCCAGCCATTGCAGGTGTTTGGGAATTAATGAGGGGATGGCAGCTCTGTCTGTCTCTCTTTGAAATTAAAGAGTTACCTCTGCAGACAGGAAATATGATTTGTTTTAACCTGACAAAATGTATACAGCAGAAATATTTTTACCTACCAGAGAGGGGTCTAGTTTGTATTAAAGATGATTAAGTGATACCAAAATGGCAGAGTGTGTTGATTCAAGTTGCCCACTGCATGTTGTCATGGAGACAAGTCAAACCCGGGTTTTTTTGGATGCTGGATGACCCACTGCTCCTCTTTTACCGTGTTAAGGAACATTTGATGCCAGTCTGTAAGAATCTGCAACCCTTGGGAAATCACAATGACCTGCTAGTTTTCTCTGCTAAATTCTTATCTGTTGTTATACAACAGGGAATTCAACTGGCCCTTGCCACTGATTGCAGGGAGGGAGTTTCAAAATCTTTGGAATTTCCTGAGTTACAGGAATGTCTTTGTTTTCCAGGAGTCCCTAGCATCACACCTGAGTTCCTGCTGAAGAGATGACTCAGAAGCAGGGCAGGGCACCAGAAAAATCAACCCTGTGATTAGAAAGCTGGGGCCTTGAGCCAGCCTGACCCCTGGGGTGGGGAGTGGGAGATTGAGTTCAGCACAAGACTGAAGGGTCCATCAATAATACCTGCAAAATGCAACCGATATGCCAGCACACCACAGCTCAAAGTTCAGCTCAGCACAGCTTCCTGATTGGTGAACTACCTGATGTGTGTGAAGGTGATGCATCCAATGTCATGGCCAGAGGCACGGAAGTTCTCTAGGACTCCCTGCCTCCTGTCTCGACTTCTCCCTATCTTTCTCTTTATTTGGCTCTGACCTGCATGCTCTATAATAAAACTGTAATGGTAGGCACAACACTTATAATACCATGAATACCATGGGTTATTCTAGGTAATCATCTAACTTGAGGGGACCACAGAAACTTCTGAATATCTGCACCGAGCTAGTCAGAATTGTTAGTGGCCTAAGCATCCCCGGAGTGTGGTTGAATAAAGGCAGGGTTATTTTTTTATGGTTGCCCTGTATGTCATGGTTATGATTGTGTTGACCCTGGGTAGCTAGTGCCAGAACTAGGGCATCAATTGATGACACAGCAGCTACCCACATACCGTGAGCATTACATATGCGTTTAAAGAAGACCGATGGAAGAATAAGTGATGTCTGTTAAGACTTACCACTCGGCTACTAATAGCTATGAAGCTAATGAAGGGACTTTTAAAAACATAAAATGAAGAAAAGAAGATTAGTTTGCTTTCTTGTGTGGGTGTACTCACATTTTAAAGTATGAACCACAGTTAACTAGTGGTCTCAGGGGTAGTGAAACACTCACTTTTTTTTTTTTTAATGGCTTAGTTGAAGTATAAGATACTGACCATGATGTGTTAGTGATTTTGGGGTGGGGGGATGACTCAGCCATGTTTTGTGTTGACCTAACAAAACTGTTAAGTGATTGTTGATTACACTTTAAAGTGAATTTGTCTTCTATTTTATGAGGAACACAGTGCAAGTCACTAAATATTGTCTAATAGTGACATCTGCCTAAGACTTGTAACAACTAAAGTTAATTGAGCTTAAAGGAATTGTTACCATTAATGTCTGTGTTTAAAGACCAAAAAAAAAAAGAAAAGTTATTGCTTTTCCCTTTCCTTTATGATTATCTAAACCCAAGATAATGCAGAATTCATCAAATCAATGAGGAAAATCGATTGTGTATCAATTGTTTATCAATAAAAACAACACATTTCAGGTGCTTCACGTCATTTGTACCTGTAAGTTGTTGGACTGACATTGATTTTCCGTGGCACACTGCAGGACTCAAATTTGTTAGCCAGAGTGACATTGTTTCCAAAAAGACAGTAACGGGGCATCTTCACGCCGACGACTCCGGCGAAGACAGATCCAGAGTGCAGGCCGATGCGCATCTGAAGGGAAACGCAGCACAAGTCCCCAGTCACTGTCAGTGCTGACCAAATGCTCTGCTAAGCTATTTCCCCAGCAACCCTCAGCACACCACTCCCTTCCTCAAAACTCCAGCCAACTTCCCTCCGCTTCTCAGGTGCAACTGACGGCCAGGGCACAGTCGGCAGCCACCCTCCTCACCATGCACAGACCCCGATTCCACCTGTCTCCGATACCTGAAGCAGTCTGCATACACACCTCTCACAGTCACCACAGCAATGTAAAGAATCCACGGGCTGTTTATGCAAACCTGCCCTGCCCATCCTAATGAACCAGGCATAATTTCTGGACTCCGGGAGCTGGTATCCAAAACGCCAACAGCAAAGGGCCAAATTTATGTAGTTCAAAGGATAGAAAATGGTTTTAAAAGACATTTTGCCTTAAAATAACTTTGAGCCAAACATTATCCCACTCCTCAAATGACTAACAATTGGGGAAAGAAAATTGTGATATTTAAGTGGAAAATGATGGAGGAGGCAGAAAGCTGGACCTGCTAAGGCCTCAATCACTGTGGCTGTTCACATTATCCTATAATCTAGAGCCACGCAGAACCACAGCTGTGCCAACTGCAGATGTACGAGGCGGTTTGGGATGTGCTGGGTGAGGGTTCAGGAATTCCAAATGTGATCAATGACCTGGAGAGTCATGAAACAGAATGTTTTAAAGTTGATCCTTGGGGCCGGCACTGTGGCATAGTGGGTAAAGCCACCTCCCATAGTGCCGGCATCCCATAGGGTGCTGGTTCCAGTCCTGGCTGCCCCAATTCTGATCCAGCTCTCTGCTATGGCCTGGGAAAGCAGTGGAAGATGGCATGAGAGACCTGGAATAAGCTCCTGGCTCCTGGCTTTGGATCGGCGCAGCTCTGGCTGTTGCAGCCATCTGGGGAGTGAATCAGCAGATGAAGACCTCTCTCTCTCTCTGTCTCTCCTTCTCTCTGTGTAACTCTGACTTTCAAATAAATAAGTCTTAAAAAAAAAGGAACAAAATTGATCTTCAAGGGCTCATTACTTTAAAAAAACCAATCTGAACGCAAAATGTTGATTACTAGAATCTTGGATGGGTGAGAGAGCTAAAAAGAATTTGTATTAAAAAAAAAGGGAAGCTGGGTGTGGTTCATTAATTGTGAGAAAGATATGAACATGACATATTGATAGGGGAACTGGACTATGGGATATGTGCATTACTGCCTCATGACTTCTGTTTTGTAAATTTCACACTATCCTGAACTAAAGTGCTTAAAAAAAGAAGTAATTTCTCCATGATTTGAGAGTACTCATCTATTCTTAAATTACGGATACAACAAAGCAAGTTAAAGTGGGTATATTTTAAATGGCACTCAGCCACCATGTTCACTGCTTTCAAGATCTGTGTTCAGTTGATCACTGGAACACTTTTTATTAGATATATGCATTTTAATATGGCCACATCCTCGGTAACACAGATGTAATTAGAAGTCAGGAGACTCCAACTCTGCTTAGTTTCAGGGAGCTGACAAAAACTTTCCCAGAATTATTTGCTCTTAAGATGTCATGCCATGAATTCTGCAGAATTTTCAAACAAAAAGCACTACATTATGAATTAGGAGATTTGCATTATAAAACAAGCTTCACTAGAAAATGATGATATGACTTTCTGTGTCTATTTTCCTCTTATTATTTATTTCTTCATGTATAAAATACAGGGATGGCCTATTTTAAAGTTATAGTTTTACTTTAAGAAACAAAACTTAGAGGGCTGCTATATTTGGTTATTTCTTATTTTTTTAACTTTTATTTAATAAATATGAATTTCCAAAGTACAACTTTTGGATTATAGTGGCTTTTCCCCCCATAACCTCCCTCCCACCCACAACCATCCTATCTCCCACTCTCTCTCCCATCCCATTCACATCAAGATTCATTTTCAATTATCTATATATACAGAAGATCAATTTAGTATATACTAAGTAAAGATTTCAACAGTTTGCATCCACACAGAAACACAAAATATAAAGTACTGTTTGAGTACACCATTCATTGACTTAGTACAATACATTAAGGACAAGAGATCCTACATGGGGAGTAAGTGCACAGTGACTCCTGTTGTTGATTTAACAATTGACACTCTTATTAATGACATCAGTAATCACCCGAGGCTCTTGTCATGAGCTGCCAAGGCTATGGAAGCCTCTTGAGTTCGCCACCTCCGATCTTATTTAGACAAGACCATAGTCAAAGTGGAAGTTCTTTTTTCCCTTCAGAGAAAGGTACCTCCTTCTTTGATGGCCTGTTCTTTCTGCTGGGATCTCACTCACAGAGATCTTTCATTTAGGTGTTTTTTTTTTTTTTGCCACAGTGTCTTGGCTTTCCATACCTGAAATACTCTCATGGGCTTTTTAGCCAGACCCGAATGCCTTAAGGGCTGATTCTGAGGTCAGAATGTTGTTTAGGACATCTGCCATTCTATGAGTCTACTGTGTATCCTGCTTCCCATGTTGGATTGTTTTTGGTTATTTCTTTTTTAGAAGAATATAGTTTTACTAATCCAACAATTGCATATTTTGAAAAGATGAGAAAAATCTTCTGCATGACTTTAGCCCATTTAGTTTAAGAAGAAAATGTTCCAAAGCTTAAGGTGCACAGGACGACCTGAATGTACCTCTTTTCACTGGAAGCAGGCTGCTCCATGAAATAATGAGAAGCAAAGAGAATTCTGCCTCCTAAGAAAAGTCTGAACAGGAACTTCCTTGGAGAGCCCTCTACTTGGAGATCTCTTTTGTCATAGCCCATTTCTCATGATGGGCTTCTGAGAGTAGGCAAGGGAGGGTGTCAGAAGTCCTTGCACTCACTCAGCACCTGCTGACACTCACTGCTACGTTCAGCTCTCTGGTCTTGAGCAAGATTAGTCGACCTGCCGTGTTCTAAGCCTTGGCAGATGGAAGTCAGTAGGAACAAGCGAATGGATGCATGAGCTGTGTATGTGCCGAATGGAGAAGAGCACCATTTGTAAAGGGGGACAAAAGGGAGCCATTTTCTATCCTTTCACTTCAACTCCGTTGCATGAGGTAGCAGGGTAAGAAATGCAGCCAGACCCTAACCCATGAGACACATAACTGCTCTGTTCTAGGAGTGAGCTGTAGATGGCTCTTTATCATGTTGCTAAAAGGAGGAAGTGACACACTGGTTAAGTCGCAATATGCTTCCTTTTGATACGCACGAATGACTCCTTGTCCACCCACAATACTCTCCACTCTGTCGACGTGAGGTTCTGCAGGTAGCTCCAAAGGCCCCAGATACTTTCCAGAACCATCAGCATCCTCAAAAAGGTTTGTTCCGTGTCTCACTTCACAAGTCATTAAAGCTAACCTATTATTACCTAGATAAGTACCTTTGAAGTTAGTTATAAATAATTCTTCCAGCTGCAAAAATCTAAAAATGCATTTCCACAAATAAAAAAAATCATGCTACTAATCCTCCTGCCCCAAACATAGATATCTTATTTACCAAAACCATTTATGTGGAAATCACTGGTCTTTCTGTTCATTATCTGAGTATTTTTCGTTCTCTGATGGGTTCCATTCCCTCACAAAAAAAAAAAAAAAAACACAATTATCAAAATCTAGTCTGGAAAAGTTACATGTAGTGCTTTCAAAACACAGTTGCAAATTATTTCACACCCCGCCTATGGTGACACCCGTATCTAAGCCTCTCTCCTCTGGGCAGATTTGATTGCTCTGATCAACAGCATCAAAGCGTCACCGTGTACCTTCCAAAGCTAGGACCTAAAAGGCCACATGGCTTCCACCCATCTTGTTCACTGGGATAAAAGCCCCCATGAATGTGATGATGTGGAGACTGCCACATGCAGCGCCACAGGCAGCATCCGGGTAACAGTAGAGCCTGCCCATGCAGCCATCCTCAGGGAAGAAATGGGCATTGCGGGGAGGCAGCTGTCTCTGAAAGAATTACTCAGCTCCCGGTGATGCAATCCCACCATTCCAGCTCCCCTCAGGTATTTGAGTACCCGCAGCTGAAATCCCAGAGAGTGTGAGGCAAAAAACATAGTATCCCTGTATGCCTGGACCAAATTATTGATGCAGAGAAATCAATGAATAATAAAAACTCTGTAGTTTTACACCAGTGAATTGAATAAAGTATTAGAAACAGTTATGAAGACTTAGATGGCTTCTGTTAGAGACAGCCAAGGTTAAGCCTCTAAATACTTTGTTTTTAAATATTTTCCTGGGACCAGAATTAAGGTTCCCCGGGTTAAGACTCTGCCTGCAATGCTGGCATCCCACATGAGTGCCAGTTTGAGCCCAGGCTGCTCCATTTCTGATCCAGCTCCCTGTTAATGTGCCTGGGAAAGCAGTGGAAAGAAGTGCTTGTACCCCTGTGACTCACATGGGAGATCTGGATGCAGTTCCTGGCTCCTGGCTTTGGCCTGGCCCAGCCCCAGCCATTGCAGACACTTAGGGAATGAATCAGCAGATGGAAGATTCTCTCTCTCTCTCCCTCCCTCCCTCCCTCCCTCTCTGTAACTCTGCCTTTCAAACCAATAAGTTAATATTAAAAACTTATTTTCTTTCTTCTTTCTACATTTCATACATGCCAGATAGGATTCAACAAGACTTTAAAAGCTCATTTCTGAAGATCACCAGTTGAGGACTGTTCTACAAGTTAAGGGACAGAATCACTGCAAGTAGCACAAAGAAGGGTAATTCACTCATGCTCTGCTTTTTATTTTTTGGTAATCAATATCTGGCATGTTAATTTCATTATCTCATATGTGGCAAGATATTCTTAGATCTGACTCATGTAGAAATTCTGATATGTTACGTGCCTTGGAAAGTACTGGTGCGTTAGCAGTTAATATTCATTCTAGAGTAACATCCTCTCCTGCGGAGGATGACAAACTAAAAACTGTATTTCCCAAACTCGAGGTGCATTTAGGCTTGCTGAGTCAGATACATTTGCGTGACTGTGGAAGCCTTTGGGTTTTCTACGGCATGTTAAGCAGAGTCCATTTTCCATCTCGTGATGGTCATGATGCAGGATTTCCACCTTGCCAATTCTAATTATAGTAGGTGAAATTTTGTTCTGCAATGAGCCATGGAGGCAGCAGCTTTCTGAACATAAGAATTCCCTGACCATGGCTGTGGTGGTACAGTTCTGGAGTCAGTTTGTGGATCATGGAAATGGTTTCTTCAGTCTTTTCAATGATTCTGAAAGCCAGCTAATGCCCCAGAGTAACTTTTTTCCTGTTGAAACAAGTTAGAGAAGATCTCACTCTGCAACTAAACCCCAGTGAACACACCACTCTTGCGATAACTATGCAGTAAGCACTTACTCTCCCGATGTCTCTTGGAGAGACTGTCCCCAGCCTTACCTTGATGGGTTCTCCATGAGGAGACATGACTTCATCAGAGAGCTCCATCATCTTCAAGGCCATCAGCGCTATCTGCACAGCATGGGTATCACTCTCTCTGTGTAAACCCCCAGCTACACAATAGGCGTCGCCAATGGTCTCCACCTACACGGGATATATTATCTGTATTATAAGTGAAAATTCGGGAAGAATCACAGCAGAACTCAAGAATCATGTAGCAGAAATGTCAGTGCTTAGGCTCTAGGGAGAAAAAGCCCAAATCAGATCCTCTTGGAAACGCCTTTCCTTTTCCCTCTCAGAAAATTCACTAGAATTAGAGCTCTTACATCGGGACACTCCACACAGAGTCTGGGCCATCCTGCGAACACCGTGTTAGCGGCTTCCACTCTCAGACTTGCTGCTGATTCATTATCTAACTACATTTTTTAAATGTCACTGTATAAAAAGCTTTTGTAGAAATGTATTTTCTAGAAACTCATTGTGTAGAAATTTATTTGTATGTTAAAATAAATTGCTTAAAAATATTGAGATCATTTACTCATTTTATATTCACCTAATCCCAAAATGGTGCTTTACATGAAGTCACTATTCAGTAAGTGTCACAGGAATGTAGTAAAAATGTGTCATGTAAAACTAAGGCATTAATAGTCATAAGTAAAAGAAATACAACTTTCCTAAAGGACTTCTCTTGTTCTCATAGCAATTATCGTCTAGATGGATATGTATCAGAGTATAGACCCTAAGATGTCAAACCAGGAGGTAAAAACAATAGTGCTGGAAGTCTACTGGAAAGCAAACTACTATATAAATTACCAGTATTGCTATAATTATCAACATTATTGTTGATACAGGAAATTTTTATCTTTCCAAGACATGAGCCACAGAAAGCTACTAATTGTTTAACAATTAACACCTCTTTGGGTGGAAGCAACATGTCTCCTGTCCTACAGAAATCTGACACTGTCATTTCTACCCTCATCCTTTGTCCTCTCATGCCCACCCGTTCTCTTCTGGAGACTGGACCTCCTCCTTTGCAGCCATTGCCTAACTATGCTTGCAACTGCTGAGCCATAAGTATTTGCCAAAACAACAGATAAAGAAAACAGAAATACACAGAAGCATGACCAAAACATTGGAGGACAGAAAGAAAATGCAATGAAAGGAAGCCCGGGCACACTTAGGTCCTGGGATAAATAGCAATGACTATTCCTGGAAGCCGTCTCTCCCCGGTCAGCCTCTGATTAGACCTTTCACATATGTGAAATGTAGCCCATGGTTCAGGTCCTTCGCTAGGTAGTTCAGCCATATCCAGATATTTTCATACAAAATCAGAAGTGGAGCGAAGGTGGAAATGAGGATTGGGAGAAGGTGATTCAAGACCAGCTCCTCTTGGATTAATCCGAGAACTCTGTGGCTGCTGCCCTTATAGGAAGCATCACAGTTTCCAAACAGTTGATAGTGTAGGTGGAAACTCCACCGTGCACCCTTGAGAGGAATTACCAAAAGGAAGAGTGCGCCACTTCTGCTAACGATTTCTGCAATTTGCCGAAGGGGAAGAAAGAAAAGACTTCCTTTTCACAATTCTGAAAGAGGGGATATTCTTGAGGTAGAAAAACATCTACAAATAAATACAGTAAATTCCATAAGAGGCCATCAAACTTAATCTAACCGAAGCCAATTATTTTTATCTGTAATTATACATGGATCTCTTATTTTCCCAAGAGAATCCTGGCTCTGTCTGGAATTTCCTGTTAGAATTTTTTTAAAGGAAGGGTTTACTTCTAGCATCTAGAATGAAAGAAGGCAAGGGTTTATGTATTCCCATAAATAATACTTGTTTCCTCCTTAATATTTTATTTATTTCATGTTGAGTTAAGCTCTGGAATGCCAGATTGTTCTGTGGCAAATCAAGCAGATGATTCAAACCATACAAATGAGAAACATACTTTATTTTTAATGCCAATATTGAAAACAAAGCAAAATAATTTGAATCTGCCCAAAATGATTTTTTAATTCTAAAGAAGCAGGCTGAATCTGAAATGTCTTCATTCTCTTAGTAATAATAGTTACATGTCAGGGACAGTCACTCCCTAGAAGGGGGCCTGTCATTGGCTGCAGGCACTTAATAAATCCCGGATGCCTGCACAGTAGCACATGTTATCTACCACAACCTTCATAACACTCCTGTGCACAAGATTAGCGGACTCAGGGTTGGCATTGTAGCGTGATGGGTAAAGCGGACACTTGCAGTGCCGACATCACATATGGGCGCTGGTTCCAGTCTCGGCCGCTCCACTTCCGATCCAGCTCTCTGCTATGGCCTGGGAAAGCAGTAGAAGATGGTCCACGTCCTTGGGCCCCTGCACCCACGTGGGAGACCTGGAAGAAGCTCCCAGCTCTTGGCTTCCGATCGGTGCAGCTCTGGCAATTACAGCCATTTGGGGAGTGAACCAGTGGAGGGGAGCACCTCTCTCTCTATCTCTCTCTCTCCCCCTTTGCCTCTCTGTAACCCTGCCTTTCAAATAAATAAATAAATCTTTAAAAAAAAATTAGGGGACTCACTGTGTATTATTCATGTATATAAACTCTGTGGCTATTATTTTCTTGTTTTAAAAATGAGAAAGGCTATTTCATTTGTTCCGTTCATGAAGAAAGTAAGATAGAGGGCACAATTTGAAGATTAAGCTTATTTAAATGCCTCTACCCTTGGGCAAGGTGCAAAGATGTGATTTTGATTTCTGTTAACTGGACATGGAAAGTATCATATTAATTCTGCATTGAATTACTCCATTTAAGGATAATTTTTATAATCTTCATGTTTATTTTTAGAGATACAAAGGATAAAGTCTCCCTGTGCAAGTCATGCTTAATCAGTCAACACAGTGAAGTGGCATGGCATGGCAGGTCCACTAACTGTCCTCTCTTATCTCTTCACAGACTCTCCACCCCAGCCTCTGTTCTGCTCTTCCTTCCATTCTGGGCTCATTCTTTGAGAGGACAATGTGGCAGCCCTTTCCTGGAACAATTATCTCTGTTCCTGAGCAGAGTCAGAGCTATTTCTAGCTGGAGAACACCCACGTAATTAATACACAATGCCTGCTCCCAGGATGTGGCTTGCATGACCCTGCAGCAAAGGCTTTTCACTTGCATTATCTTTTTTTTTTTTTTTTTTTTTTTGACAGGCAGAGTTAGACAGTGAGAGAGAGAGACAGAGAGAAAGGTCTTCCTTCTGTTGGTTCACTCCCCTAATGGCTGCCACGGCCTGCGCTGTTCCGATCCGAAGCCAGGAGCCAGGTGCTTCCTCCTGGTCTCCCATGTGGGTGCTGGGCCCAAGCACTTGGGTCATCCTCCACTGCCTTCCTGGGCCACAGCAGAGAGCTGGACTGGAAAAGGAGCAACCGGGACAGAATCCTGCGCCCCAACCAGGACTAGAACCCGGGGTGCCAGCGCCGCAGGCGGAGGATTAGCCTAGTGAGCCCCAGTGCCGGCCCTTTCACTTGCATTATAATTCAGGTTCTAGGCTGGGTGCTTTTCCCCTAGTGATTTTCGCCTGTGAAGCCGTCACTATCCTGCTCTACGCCTACCTTGTAGACATCCAGCTCCCCGCACTGCTGGTCGAAGCGAGTGTAGAGTGCGTTGAGCATGGTGATGACTTGCAGCGGCGAGCACTGGGAGCAGATGGCAGTGAACCCAACAATATCTGAGAACAGCATGGTGACGTTGCTGAACTTCTTGGCCTGCACAACTTGCCCTTGCCAGAGCTGCTGAGCAACCTCGCAGGGAAAGATAGAGCACAGGAGATCGACCGTCTTCTTCTTTTCCTCCTCCAGAGCTTGGTGGGCTTGCTCCAGGGTGGCCTTCAGCTTCCCCAGCCTCTTCTTTAGGCCATCCTGAGCTCGGGCTTGCTCCCCGATCAAGACCACATCCCTCAGCGCGTTGTGAATTGGGATGTCTGACAGGTAGAGCCCTCGTCCTGTGAAGTCTTCCAGTCTGTCCACACAGGGTGACCCCAAGAACAAGATGGCACTGGATTCAACAATGTAGATCATTTGGCCTTTGAGGTCCATAATCTGTGAAGCAAAGGTGAACCAATTGTTGTGGTTTATTCAAGTTTCCAACACCTTTCTGAGACAAAAGGAGAGGACGTTGATAACAGCGATCATCCCTTTGCATCTACGCTCTATTTTTTTATTCAAAGATGCTAAAGAAGAACACATTCTAGATCCAGTTTGCTCTAAGTTCTAAAACGCGAGCAGACATCTAAAGACCATCTTGGAGTATACTCTATGTAGACCTCATGATCCACAGTGAACAATGCAAAAAATTCTTACTTCAGGCAACTAAGTGGCCATGCCTATGCCTTTGCTACTGTAGTCTTTGGATATTCTCTTCTGCTCAATCTGGAGTTATATTTTGTGTATAATTTGGTATTTATGAAGTATAGTCTTCCTTCCTCTTTTTTTTTTTTTTTTTGACAGGCAGAGTGGACAGTGAGAGAGAGAGACAGAGAGAAAGGTCTTCCTTTTGCCGTTGGTTCACCCTCCAATGGCCGCCGCGGCCGGCGCGCTGCGGCCGGCGCACCACGCTGATCCGATGGCAGGAACCAGGAGCCAGGTGCTTTTCCTGGTCTCCCATGGGGTGCAGGGCCCAAGCACCTGGGCTATCCTCCACTGCACTCCCGGGCCACAGCAGAGGGCTGGCCTGGAAGAGGGGCAACCGGGACAGAATCCGGCGCCCCGACCGGGACTAGAACCCGGTGTGCCGGCGCCGCTAGGCGGAGGATTAGCCTAGTGAGCCGCGGCGCCGGCCCGTCTTCCTTCCTCTTCCCTCTCCCTCCCTCCCTTTCTCCCTTCTTTGTTTCCTTCCTCCTTTTTTTCTTTCTTTGTTTTTTTTTTTTTTTCTGATGTCCTGTTTTAGAAGGCTTCTCTTCTCTTCTCCCATGAGCTACTTATTGCATTTGGCAGGTATGGGGGTTAACGAGCCTCCAAAGGTATGATATTTGTTCTAACACTGCTTTTTTCTGTCGGGAGTAGCCCCCACCCCCAAGCTATTGATTTGGAAGTAATTTTTCCAGACTGCAGAGGAGGTAACTGGATCTCATAGAAGCAGCTACCTTCCTGTTTCAACTTTGCACCTAACTCTGCCTTCCACAATACAAACAAAAGAATAAACCAGCAGAAAGAATTGTATCCAGGAGCTCTTGGGGAAAGTGGGGCTAAAGTAATCATCCTGGACCACAACAAGATTTATCTGTATGTGTATGGGCAAACACAGCCATGGATGTTCATTGTAGCAGCAAGTCAACAGCTATCAAATGTCTGGGAATAGGGAACTGGTTAAATCAAGTAGGGCACAACTATACAACGGAATATCACCATTCCCCAAAAAAGTGAAATAAATCTCTATCAAATGATGTGAAAGGATGCCCGAAATATATTATTTAGAGATAAAAGAAGCTGTGAGGGGTCAGCGTTGTGGCATGGCAGGTTAAACTGCTGTTTATAATGCTGGCATCCCATATCAGAACACAGGTATGCATCCCGACTGCTCTACTTCTAGTCCAGCTTCCTGCTAATATGCCTAAGGCAGTGGAAGATGGCCCAAGTATCTGGGCCCCTGTCACCCGTGTGGGAGACCCGGGTGGAGTCCTTGCTCCTGGCTTCTGCCTTGCCCAGCCCCAGTTATTGTAAATCAGTGGGCAGAAGGTCACCGTATCTCTCTCTTCTCTCTCTCCCTCTCTCAGATAATCTGCCTTTCAAATAAACAATTAAAAGCAAATCTTCAAAATAAGATTGCAACAGGTTATAAAAAAAGAAGCTGTGAATAGTATTATTTTGTTTTAAACAAAGACATATATAATATTTTTGACTTTTTGCTACAATGACATCTTTAAGTAGTATCCATTTTTTTAAAAAATAGAGATAATATTATTTTTACAATACAATAATGAAGTTGTTTTCCTCTGGGGTAACAAACAGTACTTCTGCTAGGGTGACACGCGTCTGAAGCCTCTCAGCTTTGCTTGCACTACCAACTAGGAGTTAACCAACTTTCCTTCCTGAGACTAAATAATCACTAAAGTTCACTGAGATGAAAACACAAGTCTTCCTCCACATTCTGTAAGAATTAATCATACAAATTACATAATTTCTAAGCCCATGAATACTGACTAAAAACCCATTTAGCTGCCTCCTATAAGAAGCCAGTAGCTTTTGTTTGCTCATTATGAAACAATGCTATTATTATTCAAATTAAGCCAGCTAAAAAATAAAAAAAATTAAGCCAGCTATCTGATATTTGAGAATGCATTTTACATAAACATTTATCTCATTTAATTACAAAATACATCAATGGGTTTTAGAAGGTGAAATATTTTCAAGAAATACTTATATCAAAATGAATCACAGAAGTAAGCAAACGAATGCAGAACAGATTTTGTTTTAGATTCTGCCAGCCTTAAAATTAGTTTTTAAAAAGTCAGACTGCATTCGGCAAACACTTGTGAAGTGACAGATCAAGTTAGCAAACAATTGAATGTGAAAGGAACTTTTTAAAGCTTCTTTCAGCTTTCAAGTTGGTCTGGAGTGATTTCAAAGCACAAATGTTTTTATCGAAGCTTTTGAAGTGATGCTTCAAAAAGTTCATGGAAAATGGAATTAGAAGTTGCTTATGTTGGTGCAAAAAGTTCTGAAATCTATGCACAGTTGTTTTCAGAGTACACATTTTCCATGAACTCTGTGAAGACTTCTCTTCCATTTTTTTCACTTTCTGGTTTCTAATCCTCACATAGGTGGGAGTTTACTTCATACTCAGATGGTATCCTGTTTTCCTTACCCTTGAGGACTTCTTTACCGAATTGTCCCATCGCCTCACTCGTACAACGAATTGCATATTCAACATAGTCATGATCCCGCTGAATGACTGGTTGATTTTTGGAGAGAGAACTTCGAAATATTCTTCAAAACGAGGCTTTCCTTGAAAGTCTCTCCTGCTCATCAGCCTTCTGATGCCGTTGCCAAACTGTAGAATGGTCATATCTTTGTCAAACATGAAATGGAACGGAAACGTCTTGCAGAAGAGCGACGCAGGGATGACCAGCGAGGACTGGGGCTTGCCTGGGGACAGGGATGGCCTGGCACTTTTCACATGGACGGAGTATAGCAAGTAGGGCTGATTGACAAACTCGGTGCAATCATTTCGGAAGCAGGGAGGCAGTAAGGACACCTCCACTTCGCTTTCGTACAATATGTGAGCAGCTGCCTTGATGATGCCAGGCAGAATCAGGGACGTGGTTCTCTTTGGGAAGAAATAATAAACGTTCAGGAAGTCTGGGTCCTTATCCAGGCACAGGATGGAGGCGTCCTCCAGCCTTCCCCTCTTCTCCGCTTCTTGGCAGTGGCTGCTCTGCTTCAGCAGGGTACTGAAGCTGTTGAGAAAATCTTTCAGGGTGCCGCCAACCACGCCGAGGATGTGTTCGTCTTCCTCGTAGCATATCTTGAAATGCTCTTCACCGACGGATTCTTTGATGACCTCCACCGGCACTCCTGAAAGCACACACACATTTTGCTAAGCATATAAAGCATTTTGATATGATATCCAACATGAAACTTGAGAGCACTATACTGTTAGTCTTACTTTCTGCATTGTTTCAGCTGTTTGTCGCTCCCCTTCTTCGTGGAGGAGCAACACAGGACCCTGCGCTGTTCTTTCATCTGCTCGGCCCTCCCCGGGTTTGCTGCTGGTTCTTCCCGGGTTGGCTACTATCCCTTCCACCTCCGTGGAAGGGCAGTTCCCCCTGGCCGCATTCCCCACTTCCGCAGGGGAGCGGCACACCGCCGGCCGGTTCTCTCGGGGGCTGCACGGGTTCCCTTAGATGTTCCCCATAGATGTTCCTGGTGCATGCCGTTTCTCTCCTCCTTTATGGTCCTCCTCCGCCAATCCCAACTCGGCCGCCCACACGCCGAGCACGCTGCTCTCCAATCAGGAGCAAGTCCTACAGTCCATCAGTTGAACTGGAGGCAGCTGTGCGGAAGCTGTTTACTTCTCTCCCAGCGCCATATTGTGGGAGAGCAGATGCATAGAATAAGTCCTAATTCGAGTAACTTAGTCTAGTCCGGATTGCTCCCCACAGATCCCCCTTTCTTTTTATTTTTTAGCGTTGATACACGCCTGTCTTCGGTGTCCCGCGGTACACACTCTGCTCTACTTGCTAGAGTTGCCACAGGCTCTTACAAGTCCTATCCATCAGGCAAAACCGAATCCGGGTCCTCTCTTCGCCATGTTGTGAGGAGGTTTTTAGGCGCTGATGCGTGCCTGTGTTCGGTGCCCTGCAGCGCATGCTCTGCTCTGCCCGCAGGGGCTTACAAAACCTATCAGGCAAACCGAATCCAAGCCTTCTCATTGCCTTATTGTGGGGGAGACTTATTAGTGTTGGTTCGTGCCTATCTTCGGTGACCTGCAGCTCATACTCTGGTCGAGCTTTGCTGGCGCTTACCGCCTTAAATCAGGCAGACCGAATCCAAGCCTCCTAATTGTTGCATTGTGGGGAAGCTTTACTGATGTTAATTCGTGCCTGTCTTCGGTGACCTGCGGCTAGCCGCCCAGGTGCTCACCGCCTCACTAATCGGGCAGACCGAATCCAAGCCTTCTAATTGGCATGTTGAGGGGAGGCCTTATTTCTCTCTATTTCTCTATCTCCGGGCATTCCTATTTCTCCCATTTTACTTCTATCTTCCAGCATTCCTATTTCTCTCACTTAACTTCTAAAACTTCTGTTTCTCTTATCCCCGCAGCTTCCCGGCACCTCGCCCCGCCGGCGGGTTCCCGGCTCTGCGCCGCTTCAGCCCGCGCGCCTCTCTCATCTGCGCAGCTTCCCGGCTTTGCGCGGCTTCCCGGCTTCGCGCGCTCCGCGGTCTCCACGCTTAACCCTTTCGCGTCTGAACCACGGCCTACGCCAGCGTTCCCTATCTATTCACGCCCCGTGCTCTCTCTGCACGCGGCGGCTTCCGCGAGTAACACAGCGTAGCTTGCGTCTCCGCCACTAGGATTCAATCTAAGTTCCCCGGGCTAGCCTGGCGAAATCAACCCAGCGTACGTCTCCGCCCCACGATTTGGCTTCCCGTCCTTTGCTCCCCGGGCTAATCAGACGGATCCCAACCTGGCTTGCGTCTCAGCTTCTGGTTTCAACTTTTCGCCCCCTATTCCCGGGCTAACTTGAGAATCCCAAAGTGGCTTTCGTTTCCGCCTCGGCCTGCCCCCCGCGGCTTCAATTTCCCTAACAGTTTTCTCTACCCGGTATGTTTCCCTAAGTTTTCCTCCAACGATATTCCTCCCTCATTTCTCCTGGCCTCTCCCCACAGTCCGCGACTGAGCCTGTTTGTTCTAGCTTTCACTTTCGCTTTCGACCTTAGAGATTTCTCCCAGCTTCCCCCCGTAGTCCGTATCCGAGTCTATGCCTAGGCTTTCAATAGCTTCTTCCGGCTCCTTTTTCGTCCGGCTTTTCCCTAGGCTGTTTCGAGTCTATGCCTAGGCTTTCAATAGCTTCTTCCGGCACCCTTTTCGTCCGGCTTTTCCCTAGGCTGTTTGCTAGTCTCTCTCTCTGGTATTTTCCTGCTTCTTCCCGTTTCTTCCCTCCTAAGTTTCATATCCGTCCTAAGTTTCCTATCCGAGTCAGGTTTCCTATCCGAGTCACGGCACCATTATGTCGCTCCCCTTCTTCGTGGAGGAGCAACACAGGACCCTGCGCTGTTCTTTCATCTGCTCGGCCCTCCCCGGGTTTGCTGCTGGTTCTTCCCGGGTTGGCTACTATCCCTTCCACCTCCGTGGAAGGGCAGTTCCCCCTGGCCGCATTCCCCACTTCCGCAGGGGAGCGGCACACCGCCGGCCGGTTCTCTCGGGGGCTGCACGGGTTCCCTTAGATGTTCCCCATAGATGTTCCTGGTGCATGCCGTTTCTCTCCTCCTTTATGGTCCTCCTCCGCCAATCCCAACTCGGCCGCCCACACGCCGAGCACGCTGCTCTCCAATCAGGAGCAAGTCCTACAGTCCATCAGTTGAACTGGAGGCAGCTGTGCGGAAGCTGTTTACTTCTCTCCCAGCGCCATATTGTGGGAGAGCAGATGCATAGAATAAGTCCTAATTCGAGTAACTTAGTCTAGTCCGGATTGCTCCCCACACTGTTGATTTAGTTTCCTTTATATCTGATAAGAGTCCCAAATGAAACACCTGCATTCAAGCTATTTACATAGTTAGCTTATAAAATTCTGCTAAATATGAGTGAAAGTCCCAAATCGGCAATTTTTTAAAATGACCTTACACTTGACTATAACAGAACTATTATTCCAAGTTTAAGTCGATTTTAGAAAAAGTTCTGCTATATTTCTGTTAACAACAGAAAACAGTCCAACTTCACAAATAGCCAGACTCTCTACCTCACAAGGCCTCCAGTAACATCAGCACCGTATCTGGGAATTAATTCAAAATCATTGATTGCTAGAGAGATTTTCAATTTTTTTTTCTGATAAGAACAGTATTCTTATTGTTCAATGACACTTTAATGGATATTTGCTTGGAATATATTATTTACAGCTTCTTTTAGAACTTTGTCTTCACAGTCTAAGCATTACAACTTCGAACAAAGTCACTCATTGATTATTTTGGCCCCTAAACTAATTATTATTATTATTTATTTGAGAGGTAGATTTATAGACAATGAGAGTGAGAAACAGAGAGAAAGGTCTTCCATCTGCTGGTTCACTCCCGAAATGGCTGCAATGGTGGGAGCTGCACTGATCTGAAGCCAGGAGCCAGGAGCTTCCTCCGGGTCTCCCATGCAGGTGCAAGGACCCAAGGACATGGGCCATCATCTACTGCTTTCCCAAGCCAGCCATGGATCAAAAGAGGGCAGCTGGGCCCAGAATTGGCGACCATATGGGATGCCAGGGCCGCAGGCAGAGGATTAACTCACTGCACCACAGCGCTGGCCTCTCCCCTAAACTAATTGTTAATGTGAGAACACTGTCAACCTCTTTTCCCATGACTGCTATCAACTTTTAAGAGAACATTATTTTATTTTGCAAAGTAGAGTTTTTCATGCATAAATGAAGCGTATTTAGTTAGGTTCAAGATAAAAGCTGGTGAGTCAGCTTCCTTCCCAATCTTCTCTATATCTCAACATTAACATAAAAAGAGGAAATATTTTACAACAAACAAAAATGTATAGTATGAAACAGTTACTCTTCACATTACCATGACCAACAAATATAGAGAACATTCTTGGAGAAAACACTGGTTCTATAAGAATAGGATGTACTTCCTAATTGCATACACATATCCTTAAACAATTCTATTACCTGCTACAGTTGCTTGGTCAGCAATTATTTTTTCAAAGTCGTCTCTTTCCAAAGACTTCCTGGAATTATTTGGACATCTTTAATTAAAATGGACAGATGAGTGATAAAGTTTCAAGTTATAACATGCAGAAATGATAACTGAAAATAATTTGAATTACTTTTTCTGAAGAGGTAAATGTTGACTATAAATTTTAAGGGAAAGGAGCAATGACATGTACAACCCAAGGCAATGTTGGAAAACCCCAAAACACACATAATATGGAGTGTTTCATTGTTATTAATGATGCATATTTGTCTTTGAGTTATCTTTATGTAGACTAAAGCCAAAGAGTACCCATACAGGCAAGGAACTAGGAAGAATTGCAGTGATCAAGACAAAGCTGTAAATAAATTAGCCCAGGGGTTTTCTGATAACCCAAGAAACAAGGAAAATCTACAAACAGATGGGTGTGCCTTTTAAATATCACCATTTTGTCCCTTAAAGAAAATATAAGTATTTGCTTTTGAGTTTAAATCTCTATGAGGGAACTTCAAATATTTCATGGAAAGCAGAATTAAAAGCTAAGTTTATTTTGGTGAAAAAATTAAATTTACTAAGTTTTCAAAAAGCTTGTGAAAATGAGTATTATTAAACCACAATGCATGGATTTCAAGAATTTTTGCACCAGGAAAATATTACATTTCAATTTCATTTTTTTCGTAAACTGTTAGAAATACTCTCTTACATAATTATTGCTCAGGCATAATTACATTAAATATTTATCTTTTGTATTAAAAAACAAAGAAAAGAAATCTATCCTTTAATCAACTGCTGTGTTTGTTTAGAAGTTGATAACATAATAGCATCCATTATTTTAGTTGATAGAAAGTTCAGGATTTTAAACTGGACAACTTGTTGATTCATATTTATCTAGTTGTTGTTTTGATGATTTCTGATAGCGGTGACTGATTAAGATCAAATTTGCCAAGCCATGCAAGGATATTAAAGGACACCCAAGTTCTATTTGTGGTTCAATCTGGCCTCAGAGAAGCCAAGTTTATAAACACTCACACAACTGAAATTTTAAACGGATTTCAATAAAGCACGATATATGTTGAGAGGTGTTAGAAGGAAACATTTTCAGGAAGGGAAATTTCTCAGTTCACTACTTTCATCACACAGAGGTATCCTGCTTGAACAAAGTATTAGGAAGAAATATTTTCTTACCTCAGTTAGTTGAGCATCACTATATGATATACTAGTCAGCTTTGATTTAGAGATCAAAAAGTCCCTGGATGTGTTTTTCTATACTAGACAATCTTCTGATTTGCTTCTTTTTCTTATTTAAACTAAATCTGTTTCTTTTAAAGAGTGAGAGCAAATCTCTTCAGAGAACTCTTTCTAATGCTGCCACTGCCCAGAACTTGTGAAATGAGACGTGAGCCATGCTTAGCAGGTCCACACATTATACAGCATAATTCAGACTGGGTTCTCTCTTCTCTCATCTTCAAAAAATACAGGCAGCATAAAGCACTTGTGTATGCTTGTCCTTTCTCTCTGTCTCTCTCTCTCTCAACAGCTAAGCATTCAAGTGCAGGATGTAACCAGACGCTCTCTGGGCAACTGACTCAGTGATATCGTCAGGAGTACGGCAAAATTCATTCACGTAATGAAAGGGGAGAGAAGCCACCCTAGTCCTAAGCTTAGCTTAGTCCCTGCTCAAATTATTGGTATTTTGTTTGTCAAGTCACAGAAGATGTTAGGCTGCAGAGGCAGGAGTGAAGGTGTGTTCAGTGGTTGGCAAAAGCGGAACAGAAGAAATGGCAGCTGACTCATCAACAAGGAAGTGGGGGCAAAAACAGACAGAAGATGCCCAAGAACTAAAGAGAGCAGCGCGGAGGGGAGCCAGTGAACAGAGCACCAGGTGGTCTGACGAGCAAGAAGCTTATTTCAACAACCGAACATTATCACCAGGACAACTTAAAAATATCATTAACTTTAATAAATCAAAAATGGTATAAATATTTTTGAGATTTACAAATAAAATGACTGCTGTTTAAGTTTGGAGATGTTTTAAAGGAGCTACACTGCTGGGAACATATTCTGAATATCTGCATGTAACCGCAGGAACATTTTAGAACACAAAACCCTGAGAATTAATTTTGAGTCAACTGGCAGCCAAGGACTTGAGGAGACAGACGCAGTAGCACAGCGAGGATGAGCTGTGGCTATCTTATCAGCTTGACTGAAAATTAAGGTCAGAGGCTTCTGGAATGCGTTTCACATCACTCATGTAAACAGCGCTTCTGTCAGACACACAGATTCACACTCTCTTCTTCTGGATAGTCCGTGACCCCTGTCTTGGCTTGGTCCTGCTGCCTGCAGTCTGAGAACAGTTAGTCAGCAGGGAGAACTAATCACACATAATCCACAGAACAGATTATCCACTCATGGGTAGGAGATGGATGAATGAAGTTATGAAATATCTCTCACAATGGTATTCAATCAAACTTTAACATTCAGTTCTACAAATTTGAAGTTTGCAGGAAAATAGCATTAAGTGATAAATTTATTCTGGTACAAGAAAATGAAACATGATTGGTTTTTTCATGATATGCAATTTCATGAACTTTTTGAAGACTTCTTATATATGATTTACAAATTAAATACTTTTTGATATTTCAGGGACTGAAAAACAGGGCTAGTGGTGAGCATTTGGCCTGGTGGGTAAGACTTTATTAAGGATTCTATCCTGGGGCCAGCACTGTGGCTGAGTGGGTTAAGCTGCTACCTTGCAGGCCAGCATCTCATATAGGCAACAGCTCAAGTCCCAGATGCTCCACTTCCTTTAGTTCCCTGCTAATGCACCTGGGAAAGTATGGAAGGATGGCCCAGGCATTTGGGCCCCTACCATCCATGCGGGAGGCCTGGATGGAATTCAGGGCTCCTAGCTTCAACTTGGCCCAGCCTAGGCTGTTGTGATTATTCTCGGAGCAAACCAGTAGATGCAAGATAGCTCTGTGTGTGTGTGTATCTCCCTCTCTCTGTGTCACTCTGCCTTTCGAAGAGGTAAATACATTTAATAAAGAAAAAATATTTCATATTACTATAGTAGAGTGCCTGGGTTCAATTGCTAGCACTGGTTCCAGGTTTAAGCTTTTGGCCAATACAGACCCAAGGACAGAGTAGGTGATGGTTGAAGTAGTTGAGTTCCTGACACCCCTATGGATTGACTTCCCACCTCCTGGCTTTGGCTTGGCCCAGCTCCAGCCACTGCAGATATTCAGGGAATGTTGCATTAAGTGGGATCTCTTTCTGTCCCTCTTTTTGTCTCTCTGACTCTCCAGTAAAATTTTTTTGAAAGATTTGTTTGTTTGAAAGGCACAGTGACAGAATTACAGAGAGAGGGGGAGAGAGGGAGGGGGAGAGAGAGAGAGAGAGAGAGAGAGAGAGAGAGATGATAGCCAAGGCTGGTCTGGGACCTTAGCCAGCAGTGAGGAACACAAAAATTTGGGTTTGTTGTTTTTCCGGGTGCATTAGAAGGAAGCTGGAACAGAAGTGGAGCAGCCAGGACTGGTGCTGGCTCTCAGATGTGGGATATCAGAGTTGCAAGCAGCAGCTGAATCTACAATGCTGGCCAGAATAAATTTTTCAAAACAACTAACAGAGCAAATTACGTTATCTACCAGCAGTGAATGTGTCACATTATATTTGAAAAAAATTAACTTTTAATCAGATATTTTAAAATGTCACCTTGCATTGTCTCTTCAGAATCTTTTTAAGAAAAATTGCAGGCAGGATACAAGAAAAAACAAGAATAAATAGGGCTGATATTCACCAATACAACAAAACTAGTTATGAGAATAACGAAACACTTCCCTAAGGATGAATGACAAGCTGCTGTCCCTAGCCCCAAAGCCCCCTTCCCATCAAACTTCCACATGCTCCTGACGCTACAGGTTTAGCATGTGAGGTGTATGTGTGTGTCTGTGTGTGTATGTGTGTGCACACACGCGCTGGGGGCAGGGAAGCATGTCCACTGAGACCCTGCTGGACCTCTGACAGTATCCTCCAGACAAGGAGTCTCTTTTGATTATTTGGTATCCATGCCTTATCTGTTGGTAAACATTTTAGAAATTATCCCTTAGGATGGAAGCGTAGGCCTTATGAGTCCTTGTTAAAGGTAGGCATATATGGTAGCATGGTTAAAATCATGGGCTCGAATCCCAGCTCTGCCTTTTTCTGTATAGCTATAAAACCCTAAAAATTTGACATAAGCTGAAGTTTCATCCATCAAAATGTGAAAACTAAATGCACTTACTTTCAGATTAATAGCATTAAACTCCCTAGCCTGGTTTTTGGTGTTCCACAGTCAATCCATTAAGGTTGACATGCTCAGTGCAGGTTGGCTGCCAGGAACAGTACTGGTAATTATAATGGGAAGTTCATACCAAATGGTTTGACTTACCTGTTTTCTTTGATTTTATGCTTTGCCAATGTTCTCTGGAGTGCAAGGTTCAGTCGTTCAAACTGAAAATGGAAAAGACATGCTTTAAACATCCCCTAAATAATGATTTACCAGAAGAAAGGCATTTTAAGAAGTTTTCCTGCAGGTTCTTTCTGAGAACATGGTCAATTACTTGAACAACAAGGGCAATGAATTTACACTCTGAGCCTGGAACAGACTGGGTGTTTTCAAACTTGGGAAGCAGCAATGTGGCCCGAGGAGTCTGTTTGGATTCGTGTTGTAGCCTGCAGACCTTGCCTCTGGGAGCCTCTTGCCGACAGCCACAAAACTGTCAGAGTCTGATTCCAGACAGAAGACTGCAGGCTGCTTTCCCAGGTATTCCGTGACACAGAAAGCTGCAGCCATCACTTCTGCAGGTCAGGAGACCTTTCTGGATGCCCTCCAAATGTCCCCATCTCAGGACAGCTCAAGGCCATTCCTTTCACGAACTCTACACCCAGCCACACGGCTGGTTCTCTGCCCTCAACTACACATTCACAATTATGGTTCACACTTCTAGTCTAGAAAACTCCAGAATCATCTCTCTCTACCTTTTTGTAAAATCCCTTAAATCCAATCCGTCATCAAAGTCTGTTGGTCATTTTATTTGAAATGAACCTTTTAAAAATATTTATTGGGCTGGCGCCGCGGCTCACTAGGCTAATCCTCTGCCTTGCAGCGCCGGCACACCGGGTTCTAGTCCCGGTCGGGGCGCCGGATTCTGTCCCGGTTGCCCCTCTTCCAGGCCAGCTCTCTGCTGTGGCCAGGGAGTGCAGTGGAGGATGGCCCAGGTCCTTGGGCCCTGCACCCCATGGGAGACCAGGAGAAGTACCTGGCTCCTGCCATCAGATCAGCGCGGTGCGCTGGCCGCAGCATGCCGGCCGCGGCGGCCATTGGAGAGTGAACCAACGGCAAAAGCAAGACCTTTCTCTCTGTCTCTCTCTCTCTAACTGTCCACTCTGCCTGTCAAAAAAGAAATTTATTCATTTATTTGAAAAGCAGAAATACAGAAAGAGAAGTGGGGAGAGAGAGAGAGAGAGAATCTTCCATCCACTGGTTCACTTCTCAAATGGTCACAACAGCTTGGGCTGGACTAGGCCAAAGCCAGAAACCAGAAGCTTCTTCTGGGTCTCCCATGTAGGTGCAGGGGCCCAAGGACTTGGACCATCTTCCACTGCTTTCCCAGGCACATAAGCAGGGAGCTGGATCAGAAAATGGAGCAGCTGGAACTTGAACTGGCATCCATATGGGATGTTGGCACTGCAGGTGGAGGCTGGCCCCTGAAATGAGTCTTCTGTTTACCTTAACTTGTATTTTAACTAGTAATCCTCACCAAACATTTATATTTTACTTTTATTAGTTTCATAATTTTAGATTGCTGTTTTGCAAACTTGCATATATGTATGTGAGCTTCTATGCATCAAGGCACATTTTTAAATCCGTTTCAGTAAAGATCCTTCCTGATCTGTCATGACCACACTGTCTCTAATAACGCCTTTTGCTGGTCCTTTCCTCCTAACACATGTGCTATCAATGTTAGAAAGTGGAAGAAACAGTCCCTCTGCCCATTGCTGACGTTAGTGGAACACATGTATTCCTAGTTTTCCACTTTGAATAACAAAAACGTGCCAAAGAAATGTTATATAAAAAGTTCTATACAAGCATTTAGTAGCATACTTTGGTGATTAAATAAATTTTAAATGGCAATTTAAAGTTTAAACTTAAATTTAAATTTAAACTTTGTGGCAATCTACCTTCATCTTATAGCATTTCTCATCTGGACAATCATCACAAATTCAAAACAAAACCCATGAAGGGCAAAATATGTAACTTTTCCAGGTAAAACATTTATTGGTAAAGGTTCATGGCATATATAGTTGCTTCCTCCATGGCTGAATTTCCTGTGACATACCAGAGTCCAGACCCTGAAATACAGGAGTCTGTAATAACATCATGGGCAGGACTCAACTCTAAGTGACAGCTGTCACACAGAGCCAATGTGAGGGCCTTGTAACATAGCCTAGCAATACTACATACTGGATTTGAGTTTACTATGTCAGATTAGGATGATATCTTCAAAATTCATTCACTCACTGCAATTCTACACTCATGAATATTGTGTAGCAGTATTTAGCATGGGTTTTAGTTGTCCAGCACTCAGACTTCTTTATCTTTGGAAAAGCTTCCCTTTATAGTTTGGAGGAATGAGGTTCATTTATATGTACAATCCTTAGATCTCAATAGGTTAAATGAGTCACAGTGAAGATACCTGTCCCTAAAATAAGCTGTTACTTTCAAATTTGTTTACTGAACAATGGTCTTTCAGCTCAATGAAGGCCAGCTATGTATTTACTGTTCTAAAATGTACTTGCTTTATATACATACACATGAGAATACTTGAGGATTAACTGCTACTTGAAGCAGCACTGCTGTGTACACTATGGATTTTGATGGGCAAAATTTCATTGGTATGGTATATGGATAAGTAATTATTTCAGCTGATTCTTAACTTTTATATAGTTTTTAATATTTTTAGACCAGTGAAATATTAATTCAAAAGGACAAATTACAATATTATTTCCTTTTTTCCTCTCTTCAACTCAATATTCTGGAACACATCTGTAATCTCATGATTCTCTTCAGATCCACTTAGTCTCAGGAGGTCTTTTGTTTGTGGGAGTGCCATTTACATATGCAGATCCAATTTAATTGGTTCATTTCAATAGCATGTTCTTATCTGCCAATGGAGTTGCTTATACTTCATTACAAGCTTCAATCATGGTGTCTTTAAGAAATAGAAATATCCACATAAATGAGCAAATATCATTGAAAAAATGAACAATGAATAATATGCAGTTTTCCATCACTTCAGTTATGCCTTTTACTCAAACAAATGAAATAACTTCATGTACCTCAATTTCTTCACACAGAAATAGAAAGTTTCTATTAGATGATCAGTAAGACCTTTTAAAACTCAAATATTCAACTGACTCAGAATGATATCTTCCATTCTAATTTGCTACAGATGAGGAACTCGGATACTTGCCATGACCTTACAAATACCTAATTGTACAATTAAATCTGATTATCTAAAATAAGACTTATGATTCTGTCAAATACTATTTTGAGTCTCTTTCTTTGAATTATTGAAAACACTGAAAGTAATCAGTAGGCTAAGAATTGAATCTGTCAACACAAAAAAAGAATCTGTGTAAAGAAAGGTATTTTTCAAAGATAGGCATATGTTTAACAATGGATGAATTCATGTAGATCAACTATTATATGGTTCAAATATATTCAACACTGAGACATTTGTTATCAGAGCAGAGATGGTCTCAGTTGGAGAGGAGTCCCAGTAGTTAACGTCAAATGTATGTTTTCACCTTCAAGAATTTCCATAGTCTTTCTTTCCCTGCTACATGACAATGTGGCAAATCTTAAAGATTATTTTTTATATATTTATTTGTTATATATTTGGAAGGCATTCTTACAGAGAGACAGAGGAAGAGACAGAGAGAGTAAGATCTTCCATCCACCAGTTCACCCCCAAATGGCTGCAATGGCCAGAGCTGGGCTAGTCTGAAGACAAGAGCCAGGAGTTTCTCCCACGTGGGTGCAGGGGCTCAAGGATTTGGACCATCCTCCACTTCTTTCCCAGGCACATTAAAAGGGAGCTGGATCAGAAGTGGAGCAGCAGGACTCAAGCTGGCCCCCATAGATTATTCTTATGAACCCATGAACAAACAACCAAGTTACACTAAATGAGGAAAAAGGTATCCCTTGTGGCCCTTCATTATATTTCTTTAGGGACTAAAAAGCGGAAGTTTACAGTGGCCTGAATATCTCTTCCAGATTGAGAGAAGTCACATAATTCTATAACTTCTCCCCTAGCAAAGAGCAAGCAAGAGGGATGGAACATGCATAGAAACAGAAAAGGTTTGAGTGGTTCCAAGAATCTTTAGCTGGGCTAAGTGGTGAGGGATTTCCTTGTCAAAGCCAGTCCATAAACACTGGAGGAATGGCCATTTCTTCAGCTGTGTAGACACCAAAGCTATGAGACACATGAAAATCAGGGAAATGTGACACAACCAAAGGAACCAAACAGATTTCCTAAAGAAATAGAGAGCTAAGAACTGACCAGCAAGTAATTCAAAATAATAATCTTAAGGAAACTTAGTGAGCTACAAGACTACACAACAGACAATTTAAGAAAGTCAGGAAAACGATACATGAACAAAATGAGAATATCATCAATGGAATGGAAGGCACAGAAAAGGAACCAGTCAAATTTTATAGTGCAAGAATATAGTCACTGAAATGAAAAAATTATTAAACAATTAGAGAAATACTTGAGCAGACAGAAAAATCAGCGAACTCAAAAGACAGGTTTGAGTTTGAAATTATCAAGTCAGAAGAGTACAAAGGAAAAAGAATGAAAAAGAGAGAAGCCTGTTGGGACATCATCAAGTGAATCCGAATGTTATAAATATTTTTACCAGAGAATGGGCCTTTTGGAACATCACCAAATGAACCAGAAGAGTTTCAAAAGAGATTCCGACATGCCCACGACTCCTTCTGTAGGAATTCAAAATTTATAGAACATAATAATAAAGTTAAAATGGTAATGATAGGATTTTGGAAAAACATGGAAGCTGCCCAACTCTTCCACTATCACCATCCCACTTGACAAAGGCTCATGACTCAGACCCATGGTAGCAGGTCAAGACAGCACAGAATTTGAGACTCAGAGTCACCAGCAAAGTGGAGATTTTGTCCTCCGCAAATTGGCAGACAACATTATGATGGTCTTTGAAACCAAAAGAGGAAAACTCAGCAGCAAATAAATTATTCTTCAATAAATTATTCTGTTGCAGAGCAAGAGAGAGAGGGAAATACAAACACAAACACACACACACAAACATGGGGTGGCTGGGAGGAAGTGGAGAGAAGAGATCTTCTGCTGGCCTATCCCCAAAACTGTTGCAACAGCCAGGGCTGGGCCAGACTGAAGTCAGGAGCCTGGAACTCCATCCTAGTCTCCCACCTGGATGGCAGGGGCCCAAACAGTTGGGTCATTTTCCATTGTCTTCCCAGGCACTTTAGCAGGGAGCCAGTCTGGAAGCAAAGCAGCCAGTACTGAACCAGTGCCCTGATATGAGATGTTAGTATCACTAACCCACTGTGGCACAATACTGGCCTCAGGAATTTAATTTTAAAATAATAGCCATCAACTACTGAGCATGGCAAGAGCCATGGGTGACTTTGCTTAACAGTCATTAAAGCTCCAGGAAATGGCACTGTTACCATTTCCATGTTATAGCTGTGAGGGGTTAAGCAGCTGTAGGAGTAGAAGATCCTTTCAAAAACAATGCCAGATATTAAGCATCTTAAGATTAAACTCGATTTAAGAACATGGCTGTCATAAAAGAATGTTTTTTCAAGTTTCAAGGAAAGACTACACTTACTATAGCCTCGAAAGAGGAAAGGTAACAATTTCTAAGCTTTTGCTTGGAAAACTGTTTTTTGTTTTTCACAATTTCAAAATACCATTAAGAGCTCTGTGGGTAAGCACTCACCTCTGGGAAAATCAGTTTACAAATGCTCTCGGCCAAAGTGTGAAGGTAGACTCGGCTCCGACTGGTCTTTCTCTGAGGCAGCCCTGCTTGTGCGTTCTTCTCGGGAACGTCCTGGCAGACGGGCAGAGTCGCTTCGCAGCTCTCTGAGCTCCCTGCCGCCTCCTCGGCCGGCTCCCTGGGAGCCTGGCCTGGCGCCAGGAGGGAGAACGGGCACTCCGCTGTGATCTTGAGGTCCTTGAGCTTTGTGCAGAACATGCTGCCGGTGGCTCTCACCCTGCTCTGACCTCCCCGATGAGCTGCTCTTCTTGTGTGCAGAGGCACTTCCAATTCAAGGACACTCACAACTGGGGTGCCTATGGGCAGCAAAGGATCAGAAAGAAGGGTGATTTTATCCACTAACAAAACCAGAAAAAGACAGGCAGAAAAAGCAAAGTCGAGGCACCATTTTCCAGTAAAACAAAAAAAGTTCTGATGGAAATGCCGATTATAAAATGAACAGAACTTTACGTCTTTACCATCTGTGCATTTCAGCATTCTAGTAAAACACTTGCTTTTAATATTTTAACACTTTTCAAATGAAATGCAATTTTCTCTGAAGTATCCTTAGATGATCTATGGCTTTTCATTTTTAAACACATTTGATTTAGTTTGATTCCAAGAAAGTAGAAAACCATGGTTTTATGGTGAAGTCAAGTCTAACATCATGTTTTATTAGTGCGAGTACTACTATATAATGCTATCCTTTCTAAAACTTCAGAATCATATAAACAAATGTGTCCCCAAAATGCCTAAAGGAATAAATGTCTATAATGGTGTCTAAGCAGCTGTTTTCAGAGTTGAAAAAGTCCTAGGTGGAAAAAAACTTCAATAAAAATTATTATTGCAAAAGAAAATATTTAATTCTATAAAGAATAAAATAATTTTTAAATGTTATCATCAATATAAAAAAAGTATTTTTTTTTCAAAGAACTCTTGATCCCTAAGAATATATCACACGGGATTTAAAAGAATCTCTGGATCTGAATCCAGATGACCCTGTACTAAACCAACAAAGCTGCTCTTGCCAGAGGTCACTGAACCACAGACATTGCCATTCCTGCAGATTTTCCCTGGTACTTTCGCTTTTAATGACGTCGTAAATCCTTCAATTTACAACTAATTTATTGTTCGTCATTGGAACTGCCTAGTTATGGATTTAGCTCATCAACCATACTAATAGGGGCAAGCATTTGGCACCGCGGTTAAGACACAACTTGGGACACCCAGAATTCCACATCAGAGTGTCTGGGTTGGAGTTCCGGCTCCAGTCCCCATTCCAGCTTCCTTGTTGGTGTGCACTCTGGAAGACGTCTGGCGTTGCCTACAGAGACTGAGACCCTGAGAGCCACAGGGAAGCTCCTGACTGGGTTTCCAGCCCCTGGTGTGGGCCTAGCCCAGTTCAAGCTGGTGAGGGCATGTAGGGAGTGAAACAGTAGATGGAAGATCTGTGTCTCCAACTTTAGAACAAATTAATACATAAAACAAAGTCAGGAAATAATTTTGATGAACTGGATCCATCAACCATTTCCTATTCACAGAAAACAAATATGCCACATAAAGAATGGAACATAACCCACAATTACTAGTTCTCCATGCTGGACATGGTGCCGTAACTCGATGCTCCCCGTGGCAACCATTAGACACAGGTGTTTTCTTCTCTATGCTTTGCAATGCCCTTAATAGGCTACCAATATATAAGCCACGGTCTATAAATTGTCAGAAATAGATTATCTGATTAGTTTAGAACCATGGACAATTCACTTTCTGAGCTGGGGCAAATCAGAAGGTTAAATTCAACATCTGGCAGCCCTTGGGGTGTCATGGAATATTATATACCGGGGGAGATATGAATGCTGACAGGCTGGAAGAAGTTGTCAGTACCTTGGTTACTTAAAATAGTACTCAAAACTCTGTGATAGTATATAATTTTCAAGTCTTCAAGAAGGCACAAAGGGAAATGTTATTCTGCCAGCTAATAGGAGCTGTCTGCCTCAGCAGCCTACAAAGCTGACCCAAATGTAATATGGTGATGGGGGAAGGTCGCGTGGATGCTGCAAGACATAAAAATCTAAGGTCTTCACATGCTTCTCTTAAGACTCAATTTAAGGATGGGTATTGTGACACAGCGGATGAAGCCGCTGCTTGGGATGTCTGCATCCCATACCGCAGTGTAGGTTTGAGTCTCAGCTGCTCCTCTTCAGCTCTAACTCTCTGCTGACGAGTCTCAGCTGCCGCACAGGATGGCCTCGTACTTGGGTCCCTGGCACCCAAGATGGAATTCCTGGCTGCTGACGTTAGCCTGGCCCAGCCCCAGCTGTCGTGGTCATTTGAGGAGTGAACCAGAACACAGCAGATCTTTCTGTCTCTTTGTCAGTCTGTCTTTCAAATATATAAATGAATTTTTCAAAAAGACTCAATAAATATCTGTTCTCAGTCTTTACTGCATCTCAATATGGCTTGTTGTTTACTAACTTGTTACGGTTTGAATTTGTGATCAGCAAAACTTTTTTGCAAAAGGCAGAACGTAGATACTCTAGGCTTTGCAGGTGCGTGCTCTCTACTCAGCTCTGCTGTTGCAGCACAAAAGCCGCCAAAGGCAATATACAAACGAATGGGCCTGGATGTGTGCCAATAAAACTTTATTTGTAAATTATAATAGTGGTTACCACAGGCTGAGGTGGGCAGCAGAGAGGGAGAGGCTGATTGATGGGCATTAAGTTATAATTATTTACAAATAAGAAGCTCTGGGGTTCTATTGCACAGTAGGATGACTATTGATAATGTTAATGGGGTTCTAATGCACAGTAGGATGACTATTGATAATGTTAATGTTAATGGGGTTCTATTGCACAGTAGGATAACTATTGATAATGTTAATGTGCTGTGTGTTTCTCTACTTAAAAAACCAGAATACAGCATTTTGAGTTTTTCACCACCAAGAAACACTAAATGTTGAGGAAGAGACAGATATATTTACCCTGAATGGAAATTACACATTGTAAAACTACATCAAAACATCACATGGTAACCCATAATATGTACAACTTTTGTGTATCTGTTAGATTTTTTAGAAACTAAATAATATGTATGACTGAAAAAGAAATAGCCTGAGAAAGCAAGACCTAGAAAAGCCATATCCCATTTTTTCTCCTATTTGTGGGAGTTAATATAGAGAATAAAAATCAGATAAATGTCATATCATTTGGTATTTAGCTATAAATATTGCTTCACTGAATCATACCATGTAAATGACAATATGCTCTTCTTTTCCCACATTGAAAAAAAGAGATGGAGAGGGCGGAATAATGAGGATTCTCAGGGTCCTTATAATGTTTTATTCTTAATTTGGGTGTAGGTTATGAGTGGGCTCAGATGACAAAAATCTCATTATCTGTACATTTATATGCATTTCTGGGCATGTATACTGTATTTCAAATAAGATGTTTAGAACAAGAACATTAATAGTATGTATAACCAAATAAAACCTCAGCCAAAACAGCATGAATTTGGCCCACCGGTCATTTGCTGACTCCTAATTTTAAAAATTTAAGTAAGTTAGCATTTTAATCCAATTTTGACTCTAAGGCCAGAGTTCTTTTCTCACCTTCCCTACACATGCCTCTCTCCAAAAGTAGCAGCCTATGTGAATCCAGCTTCGTACATGTTGAATGAATCAAGGAGAATACAGTAGATAATAGTAAATAACTATAAAAATAACATCATTATTTTATATTAATTTTCAGAAGGAGGAATTTATTAACAATGCTAGAATCTCAGTTATATCAAAATTTAACTTCAACTAACAGAAGAGAATATGGAAGGAAAAAGAAGGAAGGCATTGAGAAATGAAGGTTGGATACTGACTCTGACAAAGGTATACACTGCTTCCTATGATGAGTGATTCTGGAACACATTATAACTTTGATATTGGACTTAGAAGTTTGATATAATACAGTTTATGATTAATGCTTCTATTAAATTTAATTTCTTTCAATCATGGTCGATTTCAACTCTAGCATCCAAATCCAAGATTATTTTAAATTTAATTTAATTTACAACGTTTTCTTTATTCCTTTGAGAGGCAGGAAGAGAAAGAGAGAGAGACAGAGAGAGAGTTATATCACATCCATTGGTTCATTCCGCAGTGCCCTCAACAGCTTTGGGCTGGGGCTCAAGTTAAGAGTCAGGAAATCAATCCAGGTCACCCATTTGGGTTGCAGCAGCACAATTACTTGAGCTGTCACCTCTGCTTCCCAGGATGTGTATCAGCAAGAAGCCTCAGTTAGGAATGGGAGCCAGGGTAACCTGGTATTGGATGTGCATGTCTTAACCAATACCAACAACCAGGCCAAACACCTGCCCTTCCTGCCAACACCTCCCTGCCCCAACCCAGTATTTTAATTCTAACCCACCTGCTCAATCTGGCTGTACTAAGAGACAACTAAACAGTCAATCTTCCTTGCAATGCTTTCTTTTTCTGTATTGCACAGTACTATAATTTCCAGAAAATATGTTTAATACTTTTTTATTAATGTAGAAACAGCAACAGGAAACAAGTTGTGCTTACTTCAAAATCAGTTAAGTGTTTAGTCTCATGAAATCACATATGTATAAACAAACTAATTAGCATTCTTCCCCCATTCAGCTGATGAATTTACACTGTGACAAAGATGTACACAGGGCCGATACCTTGGAAACTTATGCTTGTCTTGTGTTTGCTGCCAGGAATACAGAATATGCTCTTCAACTAAACGTGCTATGACTTTCAAGTGCAACAACGGCGTGGTTATTTGACAAATTCAGTACATGGCTGGTTGTGGAAAGGGCAGTAATACAATGAAGGAAAAACAGACAAATTAAAATAATAAATTTAAGTGAGAAGGTCTTGGCAAGCAGTTTGACAATATGTTCTCAGAAACTTGCAGAGGTACTTGCCATCCCAAAAGTTGATGATTAAACAGCCTCCAAATATATTTAATGCTCTCTCCCTTTCATTGGTGAGTGATTAACTTTGCCATGGTAAGAAAAATGACCCAACTTCTGGCCTTCTATTCATAACTGGGACATATTATTGTTCAGGTAGGGAAACTCTCCATTTACTATGAACACCTTGTTTACTACACACAACAAGGGTGTGCAGACCTGGGGAGAACACTCCTCAGGTACTCTTGACACAGAGTGCCTCTTTTGTCATAGCAGATTTCAAATCAGATGTTTGGTGCAGGGGTAAAACACCACTGGGATGTCTGCACCCCATACTGGAGTGCCTAGGTTTCAGTCCTGGCTCCTGCTTCTGATTCCAACTTCCTGCTAA